GCCTCGCCCTGCTTCAGCTCTGGCTGGTTGCTGGTCGGGCTGCAGCAGCTGACCAGCACCGATCGTCCGGCACTCCCCAGTGAGATGAACCCAGTACCTCAGTTGAAAATGCAGAAATCACCAGTCTTCTGTGTCGCTCGCGCTGGGAGTTGGAGACTGGAGCTGTTCCTATTCGGCCATCTTGCTCTGCCCCCCCATCTCAACTTTTCTAATCCAACATGTACCACTGTACTTTAAAGAAGCAAATAGTGTTCATGTCAGTGGGACTGGTCCCTATTAAGGGAATGTTGGCAATAATATATGCAGTCTAAAATAATTTGTTGGAAGCCTGGGCAATATAGTGAGACACTGTCTCTACAAAAAATAAAAAAAATTAGCTGCGTGTGGTGTTGCACACCAGTAGTCCCAGCTATTTGAGAGGCTTAGGCAGAGGATCACTTGAGCCCAGAAGTTTGAGATTGCAGTGAGCAACTAATGGAGCAATAAGAAAACAAAAGAAAGCCATTATACCATATGTGTGGCCATTGAAGCCATCTACCTTAAGGGTCCAGGGCCAAGACTGGGGAACGATGGAGAAAGAGCAATATAGAAAAGTTAGCTGCTTAAATTATCATCCTTCCTTTTAAGTAATGAGTACCAGCAATCAGTATGCATAGTGATTTCATTCCTCAATAATACAATGATGTCCATATCTATCTTATTTCTACCTACTCCTATTCTTGAGCATGCTTACATTTTTATCTTTAATCAAACCAGGCCCAATGCAATTGTTTCTGTTGCATTTTCCTATTGGCTTCTGATTATATTTTCATATGGGCACATTTTTCCATTTGCCTGATAATTTTGACCAAATCTGGACACTCATTTTTCTTCATTTCTTCTCTTATTCACTACATCTATTTTGCATCTTCCTACCCTGGCAGGAAAAGATTGCTCAAATGCGATGGGAACTGATGATGAAGACAAAAGAACACACCAGAAAGCTTTATCAGATGAATGATTTGTGTATTGAAAAGAAGAAACTTGATTCTCGGTTGAATACACTACAGAATCAGCAGGTATGTTCTTTTTCTTCAGACCCTTTTTCAGAATTGAGGAAGCTCTGTTAAAGGTAGCTATTCACAAGAATGTTAAGTACTGGCATTTAAACAAACCTTGCTTGATCTTGGACCACTTCCAGACCATCTGCATCCCTCAGGACACTGAGTTGGTGTTAGCCACATTACAGTGGGCCTGAGGGACTAGCTTTATTGAATGCCTCTTGGGTGCCATGAACTCATATACGTACTAATCAATAGAATTGCCTTGGTCCTGGAGACGTGTAAGGTTACTTAGGTATAAATAATGCCACCATTATATTCCCTGAATTTGGTGTCAAACATCTATTTCCAATATCTGCTTATTTCATTTGACTTGAAGTGGGCATCTCGAATGGTGAAATCTACCTGGTTTATCTTATTAAAATGCTTGTTACTTTGTGTGGGTTTCAACTTGCTATTATATAATATTTAGCCAGCCTAACGTTATACTTAATACATTGTGTGTGGTGGATAATACTTAATAAATATTTACCCAATCCAAGTCTTGCCCTCTACGAACCTAACACGTGTATAGCATATTCTAAACTCGATGTTATATACTTAACAATATTACCTGCAAAAGGCCAGTTGTTTCTCCTGGTCTTCTTTGCTTTATATTTTCTTTCAGCACCCTGGAAATGGTCTAAGCTAGGTGTTCTAACAGTTTGGTCCTCTGAAGAGGAGCATCAGCATCACCTGGGAACTTGTTTGAAATGCAGGTGCTAAGGCCCCAACCCAGTTGTACTGGTTCAGAAGCCCTAGGAGAGGGACCCAGCAGTCTGCATGAACCAGCCTTCCCGGCGATTCTGAGGCACACTAGAGTTTAAGAATCATTGGTCTAAACAAAAGTCCCAAAGTAAGAAATAATGCTGTTTATTCCATGAAAAGTGAATTAGGAAGATTAGGAAGGCTTATAATTGAAGATTAGATGTGAAAGAAGACTAGAATTTGAATGTTGAGGGGTCTTTTTCCACTGAAGAACTTTTGAGTGAAGGATCAAGGCAGTGTTTGAGAAGGTTAATACCTAACCCAAATCTTCACAGATTGAGCAGTCAGTCAACATGTGTTGAGCTGATGTGCTTTGATCAGTCCAGATACGTTGGAGAGGAAACAGCTTAGAGGCAGGAGATCAGTTGAATGGGAGAGGAAGTTACTAGTATCTGTCTCTTTACACAGTATATCTTTACATGTATTGCCTCTTCACATAGGATATCTCATTTAATCCTCAAAACACTACTTTCTAAAGCTCCGAGGAGCTCAGTAACTGCTGAAGCTCTCAGGGCTAATGCATGGTGAAGTTAGTTTTGAAATTCGGGTTTGTCTGCCTCCAACGCTGACTCCATTGCTTCTTACAATGATGTAGGCGTGAATTGGGATATAGCTGGTGACAGCAAAAATGTGTCAAATGTCAAAAGTCATTTCAAAGTAAGAATAGCCAAAATTTGATTGAGTCTGGTGAGGAGAAGGGGGGAAAGTGAGGTGACTTCAAAATAACCCACTGGAGTGACTCGGCATGAGTTGGTATATGAGGCATGCTTTTAGCTACAAGTAACCAAAAGCCCTACTAAGAGTACCTTAAACAAATAGGAGTCATTTTTCTCACTTGACAAGAAGTCTAGAGGAAGATGACTACAGGCTTTGGTTTTGTAGGTCATGATGCCAGAGCCCGTATCTCTGTGATTTCCCAAAGTTTCCGTCAAAGTCACACAGCAGCTGCTTCAGCTCCCATGTTTCACATCCATGCACCAGCCTCTTCTGTCCCTTTTATTAAGGAGCAAAAGTTTCAGATTATATCCACTTAGCTCTCTCTAGCTGGAAGAGAAAATGGGTAAGGTTAGTGTTTAGCTTTCATGGCCTCTAGAATAAAAGTGAGCAAGGGAAAAGAGACAGAGGGTGCTGGGTAACCCTTACTTACTATGAAGGTCTGCTATAGTACATAGGAGTAATGGAAAAAGTATGGACTTTTAGCATCAGGCAACCTGATTCTAACCCTGCTTCCAGCTTGACTTGGCCAGTTAATGACTCCCTGAATCTCAGTGTCCTTATCTGTAAAACTGGAATGATACCACCCAGTTCAGAGTCGTTTTGGGGATTAGATAAGAGAGCATATGCAAAGCACTTTGCACAGAGTGGGCATCACACCAGTATTATGTGTTTCTTTTCACAGATGTATTCATGCATTCTAATGCTATTGAGCATCTGCTTATGTAGAAAGCACTAGGGCAGGTATTGGCAGAGTGGTGAGACTTAGTCATATGGGGCCCTGTTTCTAAAAGACAGCATCTAGCAAGAAAGATAGGTATCAAACAAGCACTTTGGTCATGCCATATTAAGTTGCCATTCTTTTAGATTTAAAAAATGGTCAAATATCATAAATATTATATGGTTCAGAATGAACCATATAATATTCAATAAATTATAGTGATATATATGTATAATGGATGTTTCAATAAAACAGAAAGCAGGAAATCCTAACCTAGTCCATGGGGCAAAGAAGGCCTCCCTGAAAGTGATGTGTGAAACATGAGTAGGATTCAGCGGGACAGGGAAATAACTCAGATGAGGAAACAGAAGATTTCATTCTGGGAACCGAAATACGGGCTGTACAGAAAAAGGAAGACATACTCTGTCTTTTATTATTCCAGTGATGAGCTCTCCAGGTAATGAATGACTGATAGCTAGCTTAAAGTATACTCATCCAAAGAGGATTTGCACTTGAAGAGTTGTTCATTAGTCCAAAGGCACACATTTCTAATGGTGGGATTTTAGCAGAGGAATTGAAGCCTCCTAAGATTAAGGAGCAGTGGCTGTTTAGGGTGACTGTCAGGCCAGCACTCATCACAGATACGCAGTATAAAGGCATGGAGTTTTTCACATGCCAAATGATGCTTCAACAGGGAGCTGTTTTCTTTCAACAGGGCAATGCCTTCCAGAGCCTTCGGGAAGCAGATGTTGTGGCAAGAGAGGAGGTCACTGAATTGATCCAACTCCAGGCGGCAAGGATTTCAGCCTTAAAGGAGGAGATTGCTCTTTTGCGTAGGAAAGGTGGTCTTATCCTCCCCCCCATTCGGTCTCCACAAGAGAAAGAGATGCAGCCCGCGGACCTTTGAGTTTGCTGTTTTCGCAAACCCATGCAAGATTTCTGACATAACTCACCTGAAGTTCTGTCTCCTCGTCACCTCCAACAATCTTATTACTTTAAAGTTAACTTGTTTGAAAGTCTAAAACCAGATCTAGTCACGTAGCTTTAAGAATCTCTCTACAATTTGGTTATCTTAGAACCGAATGCAGCACCCAACCTCTGTTATGAAACTGAATAATTTTAGATGTTTTGAACCTACTAGATTGAATATGAAGTCTCAGAAGGCTGTTTCATGATTGCTGTAAATCATCTGTAATATATTTTGTTTTAGGAAAATTCGATTTGGGGGTATGCTGAATTTTTAGCCATTGGCAAGAAAAACTATCATTCAGCAATTCGTGAGAAAACTTTGTTTTCTTGATCCTTAGAAAATAAACTTAGATGTCATTAAGTGTTCTCTGAGAGGATGCAGGAGAAAAAGACATTTTGCCAACTGTATCTTAGAGCAGAATTGCAACTTTCAGTTTTGGCATTGTTGACTTCATAAAGCAGTTATTTGAGGGCTCGGGAGTCAGGAAATACAAACAGATATGGCAGAGCAGTTTGCTTTGGGTTGGCAGAAAGCAGGAAAATAACCAGCCTTCTTGGATAGCCCAGTTTTTGTAGACTCCTCAGTTCTGAGTGGACCAGAGGGGTGTGCTTAATAAAACAGTCAATAAGGAGGCTTTTCTCTAAAGATTTCTGCAACTCCATCAGAATTCTAAGTTTTCCCCATAGTTTCTCATGTCCTCTGCCATTTTCTTCAGGTTTTACTTGGGCCATTTGCTGGTTTTGATATAGACGAGGAGACAATGAAATAGATTTACCTTAGAGATCATCTTTCACAATCACTTTTGATTATGCATAACATTTGAAACTAATTTAAGAGGATCCTTTTGGTTTGGGGGTAAGTGCTCATTGAAGCTCATGGCTGTAACCACTGAAGGATAATCTCACTGACATTTAGAATCCTGTTAGTAACAGAGCATAGCTCTTTAGATTAAGACCTTTGTATTAATGAGTGACTCCATTGAGGCTGTTCCAGGATAAGCTGGTCACCGAGAAGGGTGGGTGAAGAAGGGAACATTGCATAAATATAGAAGGGAACTCAGCAATGCCAAGTCTTCCTCACCTGTGATTAACCTGCTAATCTGCCCCCCAAAATTAGATACAGGACTTGCTTTCTTTGTACATCAGAATATTCTTAGAGGTGGCAACTTGGCCTATTTTCTTCCTAAGATTCCTTCATATTCCTATTTAAGAGGTCAGAATACCTTATTGTTTTCACTTGTCACCATTAATTTCTGATGTAGTCACTTCTCTACTGGAGAGCACCCACTTATTTTTAAAAAATCACTTTCTTTGTTGTATATCCTAAACCATATGTGCCTTTTGAGTATTTTTAAAAATATGCAAGTCATAGCCCTGAATGTCTTATTTATTGTGGTAAAAAATTACCCCAAACTTAGCTTGAAACAACAAACTTATGATCTGACCCAGGAGTGAGAGGGTTTCTGAGGTCCAGGAATCTGGGGACAGCTTGGCCGGGTGTTCTGGCTCAGGGTCTCTCGTGGAGTTGCAGTCACACTAGGAGCTGGGGCTGCAGCCATCTGAAGCTTGGCTGGAGCTGGAGGGGCTACTAACAAATTCACTCCCTTGGCCATTAGGCAGGGCTTCAGTTCCTTGCCATGTGGGCCTCTCCATAGGGCTTCTCAGGACATGACTTCTCCCAGAGCAAGTGATCCAAGAGTGAGGGAGAGAGCAAGAGAGAATGACGCACACAAGAGCCACAGTCTTTTACAGCCCAAACCCAGAAGTGACATACCGTCACTATTGTCATATGGGTCACAGGCTGACCCTATGTGATGTGGGAGGGGGCTGAACAGGGTGTAAATGTCAGGTGAGGGTTACGGGGGCCTTCGTAGGGGCTGGCGGCTGCAAGCAGCAGCTACCTAGAGAGAGTGGCTGGTCTCTGAGAAAGGTCTAGAGGCGATACCATCCCCTTGGTAAGAGAATCAGGAGAAGTTATGTTATCTTCCTGGGCCTCATTACCTGACAAATGAAGGACTGGTAGAATGGATTCCTTCCCATTCTGAAATTCTGATTCTGATTGCAGCAAGAGTGAACCTAGAGTCTATGGAAGAGCCACGTCAGGATTTGCTGCGCATTTCAACTGAGAGGAAAACTAATCGGGATAATTATTCCCAAACTGAGCTAGACTAAATCACTAGTTAATTCTGCAATATTCAGGGCTTCATTCCGCATGTTTGCGGAATTGACAAGACAGTTAACACTCAATTACTTTATTTTGAATTGGACAAAATACGTTGATAGCTTTAGGTTCATTTCAACTTGATTCCAGGCTTAGTCTTAAATCTGTAGTTAAGTTAGAGCACCTGAATCTTTGGGAAGTTAAGCTTCAAACCCAAGTAGACCAGCAAGGTGTGGCATGGGTGGGTGGCTGGGAAGCTGTCCTGCTCCTGGCACACTTTCCTGCCTCCTGCTGTGCTCCCAGAGGAGCAGCCTCACCTCTGAGGGTGAGGCCAAAAATCAGCCTACACTGAGTTACTTGTGGGTCAATTGTTCATATAACTTGGCTATTCTGAACTCTCATCCATAGTATTGCCAATGATCAATCTCAGCATTAGAAGAAACAGAAACCGCAGAGTCCAGCCCCTCTGTCACAACTTCAGAGTAAAGGAGTTGCTCATGCCTGCCAGCCAGCCTGTCCTACCACAGCGGGCTCCCCACTTAGGGAGGTCTGTGAGCCATGCGCTAAACATTTCTTTAGAGCTAAAACCATTGCGTGCTATGATTCCAGTGCTGTGCAGAAAGCAGATGTTTCACATATCACTTCAGAAAAGCTCACCAAAATTCATTTTTCAACTACCTTAGATCAAGGAGAAAAAAACAAAGGAAAAAACGTAAAAAACCAGTGTGGCTAGAAGGTGAGTTACAGCTCAGATTGGGAGGCCTCTGGATAGCAAAGCAATGACTGAGAGCCTTAGCTCCGCCCACTCCAGAAGTGAGCTCTGGGCCGTGATGCCAGGTTGTCTGAAATCACAGTATCTTATTTTTTCTCTTCTCTTCCCTGCTCTGCTTCTCATTTCCTATCATTTACCTGTTCCTTACAGTCCTTCTTTTTAAAAAATATTTTTAAAATATTGCTTTCCTGAAAACCACGCTGCATTTCCACAAGAAGTTCTCTCTGACGTTGAGCTGTTGATGGAAAAAGGATGTAGAAGTCTGAGGAATAGCAGGTGCTATACTTATTTTGGCCAGCAGAGGATGCACTTGCCCTAAACAGTCAGAGTGACTCAATGCCCCAGGCTTCCCTAGGACCCTGTTTATCGAATTCTTCGGGTTTAGAAGCCAGGGTCTGGCCCCCACTTAATGAGATTGTCTCAAGTGGCATTTCATCTGTAACTCAATTTTACTGAAATCTAGAAAATACAGCCCCCCCCGCACCCTCTCCAGCCCCAAAACTCAAATGTGTAGTAAGGTTTTCATTTGCAAGCATCAGTCTCCATCTAGTTCCACTTCCACATACTAAAGATTTTAAAATTTCAATTAAAAAAAGAAGCTATGGTTGATCCTTTGGTTGGACAACAGTATGTAAATGTTGATTTTAAACTAGTGAGTCAACTACTCTGGCAATGTTGGTGTATCTTTGGAAAGAAGGGAAGTCACCAAGTGAATTTATCACGCACCGTATGTCCATGTGTGGCACAGCACTTAGCTATCGTATTTTGGAGAAAATACTTGGTCTTCAACACACACCTATATAAAAAAGATTAGTTTTATTTCTTCAATATGACCTAAACTTCATCTCAAGTCCAGTTGGTAAGAGAACTGTGAATCTGTTTTTCCTGGTCTGCTGTACAACGGTTCCCTTGTGGACGAGACAGTAATGTGTTCTGTATGAATCCAAGCACAACTGACATTCACTGTTTTAAAAAACAAAAAAGAGAAACCTTTGCTACCTTTTCTAGATCTCATTTCTGAAGGACCTGAAAATATTTTAAGTGGGTATCTTCTTCAAATACTCAGAGACTGAATTCTAAGATCTAAAGAAAATGCTGACTCACACATGACTCAGTTGAAGGTTACAGGGAAGACTAAACATTTATTTAGAAGTTACAGTGTTTGTTTTTACAGAGATATGTTGCCACAGATTATTGATTCTGGAAGGTTTTTTAATGCTCATAGTGCTGTACACATCTTGGTCTGTTCTCATGGGCATTGTAGGAAAATGTTTCCAGTAGCACCGGATCCAGCCATCTGTGTGGGTGTCTCCAGGCTGTGATACCGTGACCCTTGCTTTTCAACCTCGTGGTTGTGAGGAACCATGTGCCTGGGATCCTTCCTCTTGCCAGCTTATCTGTGGGCCTCCAGCAGCCTCGTCTGCCATTGCAGAGGCCCCAGGTTAGGAGTCTGTCCCGTGCCAGCCTGTGCGGTGCTTTCCTGGGGGACTCCTTTTAGGTGGCGGCTTCTTTCTTTTCCCTCTCCAACCTCAACAGGTAGGATTCCTTATGTCTCTCCAGAATTATAAAACATATACATTATTTACAAGTGCATAAATATATAAATATGGCTATAATAGAAAAATAAATACCAATTTTCTCTGTCTCTTCTTTAAAAAAAAATATATATATATATATAGTCTTTCTGGGATATTGGATTTTGCCTAAATTGTGGGAAGTGGTGTTTCAAAAGACACACACACCGGTGGCCCCGGGGAGAGCTGCATTCCAGGTTCCTGTCCTACGTAGGCCCCTGTGGGGTGCTGGGGACACCAGTCTCCTCCACCCACTTGGCAGGAGTCAGGACTGTCCACCTCTTCAACTGGTACAAGGCCCAAGCAGCATGGGGGCCCTGAGGGAAGAAAGAGTAGGAACCATTAAAATCCAGACTGACCGAGGAGCCAACACCCAGTGGCACTGGGCCAATCTCTATCTGTGGTGGAGGTGGTTACACTGGCTCTGGAAAGGACAGAAACCACCGAGACAAGGGCACTTCGGTTTCCTCCGAGGTCTCTCATCGAAACAGGGAGGGCCACTTGCACCCATTTCCCACTCATGCTGGGACCGCAGAGACTCCAGCACTGAGCCCACACCACAGGAGCAGATGAAGTCAGTGGAGCCCGTGAAACGCAGAAGGAAGTCCTGCTCTGTGTTTAGGCTGCTAGTCCACCCTTTGCTATGGCTTCTGGTTACAACTATCCCACTCACAATCCAGTGCCCCCGGACTGTCACGGTCCAGTTTAAATGATGCTGGGTCGAGCTTTAGGACCCAGCATCTTTTAAATTTAATCTCCTAGAGACAGGGTCCAGGATCTGCCTATACACGGGCATGCACACAGAGAAGCTAAGAAACAGTGGATACTTGGTGAGGGCACCAAGTATCCACTGATTTCCAAGGAGACTAGCATGGAGGGAGACAATGGGATGGGCTTAGTGCGAATGGCCCCAAACTCCTTGGAGAAAAAGTTCTGTGGAAGTACAAAGAGTTATGATGATGATGTTTATAAGAATTTGGCTCCTTAATGATTGAGGCAACCTTATTCCTTAATTAAGAGACAAGCCTCAACAAAGCAAGGCATTTCAGAATGATTAGAGAATGCCTCTTAGTGTGATGAGCGGCAAATGGTATTTGTGAATGGCCTTGAAATGCAGAGACCAAAAAGGGTTTTTTCCTCTGACATGGAGAAATGGCCTTTTTCTCAGAGGCTGAGGATCGCAGCTTATCGCGCTGGAGTAGAACCCACCTGAACATCCCACAGACCTACTGGGCCTTCAGCAGTGAAGGACAGTGGCCAGCCACCCTCGATGCCCCATCCCTCCCACATCAATGCTGTGGCTGGCTCCTTACCAAGCCCCACCTTTGCAGACCGTTACTACTGGCTTGTGGATGCCTAGCTCATGTCACCCCCAGCCTGTTCCATTTCCCTGCCCTGCTCCTGCCACCAACCTGAGTGAAATGGAGGATCCCACATTGCTTCTAGGACGGGACTGTCGGGGGCTCTCCTCACCCCTGACTGGACAGCAGCAGGCTGCTCCCGGCGTTGGCAGCAGTCGTGGTGGGGCTGCAGCAGCTGGTGAGTGGAGTCATCGGGCAGGGTGTATAAGAAAGAGCCCTCGTCCGGGCTAGACTCGGGATCCCTGCAGTGCACAAGCCCAGATGGGGAGGTGGGGCCGGGCAGGGTGGGCCTGTCGCCCCACCCCCTGCTGGCTGTCTCCCTGTCTGAGGGCATCAGAGCTGGTGAGAGCTCAGATGGGGCAAAGACTGCTTTCCCCTTTGAACATCAAGAGGTACCACACCATCATTTTCACTCATCATTCTAGTCCATTTCCATTTTATTCCATGTGGGAGGATGTGAGGTCAGGTGTCCAGGGGCCCATGGGCAAAGTCAGTTGTGGTGAGTGCTTCTGATCTGCCTAGTGAGGGAGGATTCCGAGATGCCAACCCATGCCCCCAGGCAGAAAGGGCACCGCAACTGCAAATGAAACAACTGCCTATTAGGGCAACGGCTCAGAGGGGCATGATTGTCAGTTCCGGGGACCCCTGAGTACAGCACTACTGCTTGGCTCTCAGTGACTGGCCTTGGATTTGAGGAGCTAAAGGGAAAGTGAGGCTGTGGGGCTTGGGAGTAAAAGGGGAGAAGCCTGGTTACCTGGTGATCTGGTGACTTTGGGGGTCATATCCATTGCCAAGATGGGTCTGCCTCAGCAGGCGGCTGGTGTCATTCTGCTGCTCAAAAGGAAGAGTAATGAGATGGCCACGCCAGGGAGTCCAGGTAACTTTCCAGTGTTCACTGATCAACAGGAGCATCTGCTCCTGACTAAAGAAAGCCTGGCCCAGCAGCCTGGGCTGAGACCCTAGGAGGGAGGAGGTCCCCCAAGGCAGCCCAGTCACTCCCTCCTGGGTGTCCCATACCTGCCATCCACACCCAAGAGTGCACTACCTGCTGAAGCTCGCCTGGGCAGTGCTGCTGCGGCTTCATGCCCGGGTAGCCCACTGCAGCCGCGGGGCAGCCCCTATTCATGTGGATCCCATTAGCACAGGCCCGTCCACTGATGCCACTGAGGTAGCGCTGTCCGCTGGTCTGGTGGCCTGGGAGTCCTCCCAATGGCACCATAGTATATGGGCAGGAGGAAGGTGGAAGGGCACTTCGAGGAAAACCCAGGTCTGTTGTATGTTCTAGAAGGATAGAAAAACAAAGGTGTGCTAAGGCCAAGGGACCCTGGGACGGGCTGGACAAGCCGTCAGGAGCTCCTGGCCACAGAGGGTCGAAGGATGTAGGCAGAGGGTTGACGGTGCCCAGGAGATGGAGAACATTTTCTCTTAGAGTCTCCTTCGTGTGCCCACTTCTACCTGACACCTAGACTCTTCTGCCGGGAGAAGGGTGGGGAGATACAGGGTCCAGGGCTTGGGGGCAGGAAGTGGCGAGTGAAAAGCAGCAGCAATGTTTAGAGGAGGCAGGCTGACCAGATGTCCTGCCATCTGAAGCAGAAACTAGTGACTGAAAGATTGCAGGATAGAGGGGAAAGCTGAAGGCAGCTCCGCACGCAGCGAACAGGCAGGATGGACTCTAAGTAGGAACATGCGGTGAGAGGAGCAGCTTCGGACACTTAAGAAGATAGCACTGCATAGGTCCCGAGCTCCAAAGGTGCAGAGAAGACAGCCCAACTTCCCCTCCTTCCTCCTCCCCAAGCCGAGGTCTGTTAGCTGCGGGGAGGGGTCCAGTCGTCGGGTATTCTTTGACCTCAGAGACCTTCAGAGACCTTCGGGGGACTCGGGCTTGAGCTTTCTGTGGACGCAGACCTAGGCACAGGCCTCCGTAGTGGAGCCCCCATTTCCCGCCCAGGCTCCTCCCACTGAAAGCGTCACTCACTCACTTTGCTGAGACCAGGCCCTCCACAAGCAGAAGGGGATGAAGGTGACGATGATGAGAACGATGGAGCCCAGGACGACCCCGACAATCAGATAGGGCAGGTCACTGGAGCGAGCCACCATGGCCCCAGTGCCCACCGGCCGCTCTATGGTTTCAGGAGGGGGCGGCTGTGGTGGGGCCAGAGTTGGGGGTGGCAGTCGACCAGGCTGGCCAGAAGACTTCCGAGCTGTATTGTGGACAAAACTCACTTCAGCATATGTTTCCTTGATATTTCCTTCACAACAAATAGAAAAAAAAAATACCCCCATTCCATGGGTGTGGGAAGTGGGGTCAAACTCACTAGATTGGGCCTCAAAATCTCTTATTTGAATGGCGTCCACACTCAGCATGAAACTGGCATCTAATGTGAAATCTGGTGGCGTGGCGGAGACCTGACCCTTGCATTTCAAAGCAGAGCCTGAGATGCCTGTGAGCCATGCACCAGAGCTGGACCAGGTACTTCCAGCAGAAGTGGTGTAGTGCTTTTGGGAAGAGCTGGTGAACTTTTGGAAGAAAATATTTAAAATGCAGGAAGCCAGAACAAGAATTGGGAATGGAAGAATTTACCCACACCCAAGAGTGTGCAGCCTGCTGGTGGACTGAGACACGAAGTACTACGTATGAGCATGGATCACAGCAGGGGGACGGGTGTTCTGGGACTCACGAGGACACACGGTACATGTGAGATGCCAATTCAGAGGTGGAGTCGAGGCCATCAGCTCCTCACTTCAGCTTTGCTGAGTATTAGGAGGTGCAGCTGACCCTGCTGGCCCTCGTGGCCGTCTTCTCCCCCGGCTTTCAGACTCTGTCCCCTGATGGTCCCCACCTCTCTGCTGCTCTGTACGCCTCTCCTTCCCTCTCTGTGCCGTCTGCCTCCGCAGACACTGGGAGGCCTTCCTGGTTCCCCTCTGTCTGTACTCTCTGTATATTCTCACCTAGTCCCATGACTTCCACCTATATCCTAAAGACCCCCAAATGAATCTCCCCACCTGGACCCCCTGCCTGGGGCAGGAGCCCTGCTTCTTATCAGACACTTCATTTCAATGTCTCCAAAGAGCCAAACACTCGGTAAGCCTCCAAGCGGTTCTACCTTGTTCCTTTCTCATGAAACCTGTTTCTCTTCTTGCTGTTGCCATTTCAATAAGTTTCAGTACTTCCAGCTGGAAACTCCTTTCACTGTCTCCCAGCCCTAGTGTGCAAGCAGTCCCTGGTCCCACGGACACCTCCTTACAAAAGAGACTCAAACCCGTCCCTTCTCTTTACCTTTACTTTAGAGCCCCAGTTCTCAACCCTCAGCCCATTCCCTGCAGTCACCCCAGTGACCCATCTCAACAGACAAATCCACTGACAGTCCTCCCCCACCTCACAGCCTCGCGTGGCCCCCGCTGTCCCTGGCTGCACCGGCTCATCTCACAGTATCCTCAGTGGCCTCTTTCCTGGGCATTCACTCCTATAACCTCCTTCCCAGTACCTGACACTCCAACCATCTGGCGCTATGTCCAGCCTTGCCCCCAGGCCACTCTCTCCTCATCCTGGCCTGAGATTCAGTCTTCCAGCAGACCAGTGTGAAGGCTTTATGAAGCCGCCTCCTCCCTCTGGGCACTCCCTGCACCAGGTGATCCAGGATTCTGGGCTGTGCATGTATCCGCCCTCCCTCCAGTGTGCATGACGGAAGAGGGCAGGGAGGGACACAGAGGCCTCAGGGAGGATCTGCTGAATGACTGAAAGCCAGTGAAGCAGAAGAGAGAATGCTGTTGCCTTGATGAGAGGAAAATGTGTTGTTCTGTCCCTATTCCTATTCCTTTGTGATCCTCTCTTGATTATGTTCTTTGCAATACAACTGCTTTATCTCACTCTCAGTACCTGCAAAATGGAGATAATGCTATCTCCCCATCTGACCAATGTGCAAATATTAACAAGTTATTATGTGACTACGTTTAACATGTTTTAAGTGCAATAGAAAGGGTCTGGTCTTGTAGTTAAGATAATCCCAGCCCAAAGCGTGCTCTACCCCTAACTGGCTGCACGGTCTTGGCTAAAGTATGCAGCTTCCTCATGCCCACTTCCTTTCCCATCTCATGGGATTGTAGTTCAGTTAAATAAACCAACCCATGGAAGCACCAAATATCACTGCTGGAATAAAGTATTTATAGGAAGTTCCCAACTTAAGAATGAGGTGTATCCCCTGATTTCATGGATGAGTTAATTACCAAGTTCCTTGAAGGTGTCGTGATAGCCTATTTAGTATTAGGCACAGACAAATGAGTAGAGAGTGAAACATGACCAAGTCTGAGGTTATGTGGAAAACAGTCTTCCTGGAAAAGAGACCCAGCACCGCACAGGGAATGGTGACTTTGCCTTCCCTTGCTGGGACACCAAGACAGGAGAGAGAACCCAAAGAGCTTCACCTTTGGTCTCACAGATCATCACGTTGCTGAACTCGCTCTCCCCTCCTTCATTGAAGCACTGCATCTTAATGTCGTAGGAGGTCTCTGGCTGCAGGTGGCTGATGGAGTGCCAGTACCTGTCCCCTGGGAAAGAGAGTCAGAGAATGGTGCATGGCAATGTGCACATGGTTTTTCTTGATCCCAATCTCATAGTCAGACTCAGCTGGGGCAGTGTGTGGGGAAGGATGCCACTGACTGGCACAGGGGTGGCGTATGGAGGAACGCTGGAGGAAATGTTCTAGGTGTCCACCTATGTTGTCCCATCATCATGTGGATTCATGAAGTTGATAGCTTCAAGGGTATTATGAATGAGTCAATGACATGGAGCTCAGAGCTTTGTGTCACACCAGACGCAGGTTTATGCTTCGCCAGATTTCACCAACACCTTGTCCCCCATCCCAGCGGAGGAAATTATAGCACACAGAAGCTATAAACACAGAATTGTGTCTCACCTTCCACCATATCCTTCTTGTAGTCACTATCATTGTCACTGTCTGTGGGTCGATAATAGATATAGAAGCCATGGATTGGGGTGTTGTTGTTACTTGCTGGGATGTACTATAGGGAATGGAGAAGAAACAAGTTGACAATGAGCAGAGAAAACATCATCAAAGCAAAACCACTGGTGTATGAAGCTTCCACCCCAGTCCAGAGTCTGAATTTCACTTGGGGCCCCGGCAAAGATTTCTAATGATATCTCTGAGGTTCTCTGAAAAATGTTGTGAAGATCACTCATTATTTCATTTAGCCTAGACGTCCCTAAGCTTTTGAAGAGAAGAAACAAATTGCCATTTCTCCAAAGACTTCAATTGCTTCTGATCTCCCTGGACATGTGAGGGGCCCCTGCGGCTGAGAAGGGGCCCTGAACAATTGTGTTGGGATCCCCTGTGGTATCAGGGGAAGCGCAGGAAGGAGGGAGAGGTCTACCAGGTCAAGGCACCAGAATCAACAGGAGACCACTAGAGCAGCTCCAGCCACTAAGAGCCTTCCAAATTCCACTGATGAAGCTTTCAGGTGCCCTGTTTGGGGGAGTCTCATCCCCAGGCTCACAGGGAAGGGCGTTTAGGGGAGGCCGTCTTCTGCTGCAGTCCACGGCCAGGCCCGCTTACCATCCACTTGAGCATGATGGTGGTCTCATTGACCGCGTCCGTGAAGGTGATGTAGGGACCTGCCACGGGCCTCTCGTACACGCGGCCGCTGTAGCCTGACACCACGTAGGGCCGAGAGGGGGCGCTGGGCTCGCTCTCCCCTAGCATGTTCAGAGCCCGGACTCGAAACTTGTAGGAGGTGCCTGGTGAGAGGGACACTCACTGAACTCAGGAGCTGGGAAACACCTTCTGATTCTCCCATGGCCTTTCAAGGCCCAGGACCTGGAGGGTCTTCTGGGCAGCCCTTCCCCAAAGCAAGTTCTCAAAGGCCTCACAAGAACACCCGCCATTTTCAGAGCCAGGCTGCGGGGGAGATGGCTCTAGATGCTCTTCTGGAGGGAGGCGGAAGGCTTGTAGGACTGTGGTAAACACCACAGACAGCAACACGGAGGCATGCTGGTGGGTGGGGGCCTGGGCCGAGAGAAGGGGATCCCAGGCTCGTCATCCTCCTCCAGGTGGTCAGGGGCAGCTGGGGGATCAGGCCAAGGCCACAGCATGGCCAGGCCCCTACCTTTCTCTAGGCCTGTGATCTCCACGGACAGCCGCGACGGGGGGATGGCGCTGGTGGCCAGAATCCAGTCTCCCACTTTCTTTAGCTTCTTGTACTCCACACGGAAGGACTGGATCGGGAACCCACCATTCCCACGGGGAATCCAGGTCACGTACACTGAGGTCTCGGAGGCCGTGGAGATGGTGGGCCTGTCGGGAGCTTCTGGGGCTGGGAAAGACCGCACCCAGTAAGGAAGGAAGCAGGGTGAGATGATGGCTGAATGCCCACTGGGCCTGGCCTGCTCCTGACGGGTCCACGCCTCCCCACAGCCCTCCACCCACTGGTGTTCACGTCAGACCCCCCCACGGCTGCCCGGGCTGCCCTCTCCTGGGCGAAGGCTGTGAGCTAAGACCCCTTATGCTATCCTTCTGCCAAGCCAGAGTATGGAGGCCCAAGGGCCACCGCTCTGGCCTCTGCTGCTCTCTAGATGCACCCAGTCAGCAATCCCAGCATCAATGCCAGCTTTTTATTTAAAAAGCTCCAAACTACATTTCCTCATTGTGGTTAAATGGGAGATGCCAAGAAAATGTCACAAAAACCCTGGACCTACAGAAGTAAGACCCCATTCAGAAACGGGAACAGGCCCTCTGAGGCAGTTCCAGTCCTGACTGCGTGTCCCGTCCCTGCTGCTCGGGCCTTACGGGAGAGGCGGCCGTGGTCGGGCTGGCTGCTGCTCTGGGGACTGGCTCCAGGGTCGTCTCTCTGGATCTGCTGCTCCTTGCTGGCCATGATCTCGGGTTTGGGCCGCCGTCCTGGGTGGAAATGGGTTGTAGTCAGCAAGGGAGAGAGCAGGCATTAGATCTCCCTCCCACAGAGTCCTTTTTGCCTGAGACTCTGCTGAGGGGCGTGACAAAGTGATGCAAATAAGCATCCAGGGCACTGAGGGTGTGGGCTCAGCCTCGGCCGACACTGGCTCTGTTGTGGTACTACTGCTGGCCCCTGTGTGAGAGAGGGACGAGGGGTGCCAGAGAGGCCGGCTGGCAGCTCTCCTGATGAGAGCTGGGGCCTCAGCCTAGCACACAAACCACAAGGAGGCGGTAGCTGGAAGGAAAGATGAAGTTCAAGTGAACGGATGGGGCAAGGTGAGCAGGAATTCTCACCTGGGCCACTGGAACTTGCTTAGACCCATGGAAACCCTAAGCAAGGGGCAACGGTTGACTCTCACCAGTTCGGAAGGTGACCATGGCTGTCTGGCCCTCGCCTGCACAGTTGTAAGCTGCCATCTCCACTTCATACAAGCTCCCGGGGTCGAGTCTGGTGAGGGTCAGGCGGTGCTGGTTGGCTGGAATGCCAGAGATGGTCCAATTGTCAGAGGAGTTTGTGACCTGCTGGAGAAGGAGCTGGTATAAGGACTAGCGTCTCAGCCTCGGGCTACGAGTGGGCTGTGGTTTGCAAGGAAAGCAGCGCTGAGCCCAAGAGGGCAGGAGAAGGGGAAGGACAACGGGCCAGGTTGGGGTTGGGGCGGCACAGACTCAGACTGACCCCCCCTGGCTATGGGACACCAGCCTCAGTGGGACATTCACGTCAGGCTCTCTGATCCCTCGTCTAATGATCTCATCAAAGAAACCTCAGTGGGGAAGTCAGAGAGCCTGACTGATATTGCTGAGAACTCCTCCAAAGACCTTTTCTCCCTGTATTTCAAAGAACCTCCATGTTTTGCTTTCTTTCTCCTTCTGTAGGTAAACCAAACGCAGTTCCCTCTGTTTATATTCTAATGAGACACAATGATGAGAAAGATAACGAAAGTATCAGCACCCACGAAATAGCAACATTTGCTAAGGGCTTACTCTGTGCTACACATGGAACTAAGCAGTTTATAGGCGCTACTTCCTTTTCCTCAAAATAGCCCAAGAGATTGGTGTTAATATTGTTCCCACTTCACAAATAGGGAGACTAAGGTTTAGAGAAATGAGCAGTTTGCTCAAGGCCACATGGCTAGTGAGCACCGAAACCATGACTTGACTCCAAAGAGCGTGCCCATCGTTGCGCCCTATCCTGGGAAGAAGAGTCTGGGATCCAAAGTCCTGGGTTCAAATCCTGGTTGTGTAACTCAGAGCAAGTCCCCTAACCCTCTGACCCTTCAGCTTTGCATTTCACCAACGAGGCAAATAAACTCTCTCAGGTTATTCTGAAGATTCAATGAGAGAAGTTGTATAAAGTGCCCCGCAGCGAGCTTGGTGCACAGTAGATCCCCAACAAATGCCTGGCCCCTCGAGGCCCCTCCCCACATCCTCAGCCCAGTGCGGTTTCTATCATTTCAGTCCCCTTTGTTTCTGCTCCTGCCTTCAGTCCTTGCTCAGAACTTAAAAACTGTGGATGAATTGTGACTGTGATGCATTAATCCTTAATAGCTTCAAATTCCTAGCTCTTTAAAGGAAAAAATAAGGGAGCTCCAGGCTCCCCAACAGGTGATGCTGAGAGGCTGCTCATCTCAGCTGCCCCACCTTTTGGGACAACAGACTTTACTGCCAACTCTACATCCCAGAGAGCCTGCTGGAGCCTCAAGTTGTGGTTTGCTGAAGGAAGAAAACAGCTGGAAGGAAAAGCTCTTCTCCCTGAGCAGAATATTCCAAAGTTGAACAAAACGTACCATTCAAGGCACAGGAATGGTCTGGGCTCATTGTCAGGCTTCCAGGATTTGTTCCAAGGGGAGACATTTTTACAAACTGAGACTCCCCAGTGATGCTGGAAACCCAAACACAGTAGCCCAGGGTCTGCAGATGCACCAGGAAATGAAACTTGCTTCGCGCATGTGAAACAGTGAAAATTAGCTGAACGATTCCCAGTCCCCAGCAAGAGAAGGCGGATGAAAAAACACAGCCCGAATGCTGACTTTTGATTTCAAATTCTTTCTTGGGGATCTTTAAGACTTGTTAGTTCCGTAAGAGAGGAACTGCTTTCAAGCCAGAACTTCTGCCTTGGCAACCCCAGGCTGAGGAGCCCCCAGGCTGGAGCCTAAGAGAAGCCAGAAGCAGCAGGGGCCTGTCCGGACTCTCACTTCCCCTGCGCCCCATGTACCCCTGCCCTCCCAGCGCTGGCCTCACACTTCCACTGGGCCCAGAAATGAAAATAAGAAATAGAAGGGTAATTAGTCACTGTCACACACACTGAGGGGGTGAATGTGGCCTGAGCCTGGCATTTCCGGATCACCACGGCACGGCCTTTGCCAGTCTGCCTCTTGTGCAAGGCTGCTTCATGGCCACCTATTGGCCTGAAAAATATTATTCTTGCTCTCATGCTGGGTTTGTCTCCTGGGAACCATGGGCGTTTGGCCTGCCCTGATCTTTGTCTACAACTCTGAGATGGAGGTGTCCAGTTACACGGGGAAATAGGATTAGGACTAGCCCTGCCCTACAACATGTGAACAATACTGCTTTTTGTTAAAAACTCATTCACCCGCTTTGCTGGCTGCCTATGAAGAGGCCAGCAGGTGGAGGGCTAATGAGAAACTGCTCCCCCCGTCCCCCTGCCTTTGGGGAGGCAGCAGAGGGGGCATAGGGGGTGCTCTGCCTTAGGTGTCTTTCTGACAACCCCAGGGTCTCTGTGGACTTGTCCTGACCCAAGGTCTTCTAGGAGAGCATGTAAGGGGAAAGAACAGAATAGAAGGAGTCAGGGGCCAGGCTCTAAGGCAGGGAAACGGCTTCTGCACAGCTAGCGCGCTCCACTGTGCAGGCTTGGTTCTGTTTTCTTGCTTGTTTGTGGAGGTGGGGAGGAGTGGAGAAATACTTTTAATTCCACATTCATATGCTTTCCATCAAGTGCACATAGCATTTTTATAAGCAAAAGTAATATAAATGCATAATAAAAATCAGCACGTACATGCTGTTATTTATCAAACACAATTTTCCATTTAAGAATAATAGTTTTCTACTATCGAATGGCCTTAGAAAGAAAATGGCGTATACTTGGAGTGAACAGAAATATTTTCAAGGATGTTTTCTTATGGGGAATTTCATGTCCTCATCCCTGTGGGGTAACAACAGGTAGGAGCACAGCCTTCAGCGAGAGTGGCTGCCTGGGGACCCTGCCCTGCCTCACAGGACACAGTGTACAGGAGCATAGGCCTGACTGGGCTCTGCCCCCGCATCCCGTCAGAGCCCGAGACTCCCTCCCTGACAGCTCCTGAAACATTCACCTGGACAGACTTCCTTCTGTCAAGCAGAAATAGCTGAGGTCTGAACAACATGATGTGCTTTGAGCTCAAATGCCTGCTTGTCAAACCCAAGCCATGACAGATTCTGAGAACTGAGGGGGTATTTTACAGCCTACAGAGAAAACACTTGTTCACAAATATTTGTTTTCCTGGCATTAGGCTAGCTGGCTTACCATGCCAGGGTTCCTGCAGGCATGTGCCCAGCACAGCTTACTTTCATAAAAAAACAAAATGTAACATCAACAACTAACGACGGAGGATGATGGTTACCAGGGACACTGTTCACCATCTCCTCAGGGACTGCAAGCTAGTGTGAGCTTCTGGGAAATGTGTGCATAGAGCTTAGTACTGGATGCACGCACAAGGCTTTTTCCTGGACCTTCCAGGGTCCCACACGACCATCTCACAACCAGCTCCCTGGGAGGCAGCAGGGATGGACACTGGAGGAGACAGAAGGGCCTGATTAGTGGTGGGGATTACTGGTTCAGGCTTCAGGAACTCAATGGCCCGGAGGCAGTGACTCTGCTCAGCTTTGCTGGGAAGGCTGTGCAGGGGAGGCAGCGGCCCCACACCAGGGCCATACCTTGCGATGTTTCACCACATAGTAGAGGATCGGTGCCCAGCCACTGCCCTCATGCCGAGGCCGCCACACCAGTTCATATGAGTCGGTCTTGGAGGTGCGGGGCGAGCTGAGGATGATGGGAGCCTCGGCGGGAGCCCCCTGCCCTTTCTCTCCTGGACACTGCGGGGAAGCAGGCCGTGCTGATGTTGGGGGTCTGGGGAGCGCCGGTTCCCCCCTCAGCATCTGCTCAGGGCTGCCGGGTTTGGAGGGTGGTGCAGGAGGTGTGCCAGTAGCCGGCTCAGCATCCTGCCGTAGCCTCGCGGTTACGCCTGGAGGACCAACAGGAAGGAGAAGGAAAGGTTAGTCTCCTGGTTTACCTGCTGAGCTGTTGAAATGGGGAGAAAACAGGAAGAAGTCAGAGAGGCAACCTGGGCCCACCATCAGCCCGACCGCCACCCACTCTGTGCTGCCCAGTCGGGCTCCATGGAAGACAGCGCGGGTGTCCCTGTCCTGCCAGAAGGAAAAAGCAGCCTGGTCTGCCCGGCCAGGGGCTCAGGGGTGGCTTGGGCATGGCAAGCAAACCTCTCTGTGGCCTGCTTTTCTCCTGAGTCCACGTGAAGGGCATCTCCCGTGAACTAACTCAATTTCCTCTCGAGGCCCAGGAGCCCTGCGCCTTCCTTCTCGGCCTAGGCTGGAGATGGAGACACGTCCCTTCATGGTGGACTCTTACCACAGCACCATGTGGGCCTTTTGCTACTGAACATGAGACATGAACACAACTGGAAATGTCCTCTGAGAGTCTGAGGCCAGGAGGGGCAGTGCTTCCTTCAGGAGATTTCTACAGAATCTGCCAGCACCTGTCTCTCCTCTACCTGACCTTCCCCACCACAGGATACGGGCACCTGATAATGCTGACTTAGCATTGTATTGTACTCATTGCTGTATTTTTCTCAAGTCGTTTCACTTGTAAGTTTCGTCCCCATAGGGGAATTCTCAAGGGCAGGGTCTTTGCCATGTTGCTCTGCACCCCCATATTACCTCTCCCCAGGCTAAGCATGGTCACTGCTCAGTTGGCATAGGCCCCAACTGGAATGAAGCTTGCTGAGAAGGACAGACTGGCTTTTCTTCACCAAAGCACTAGAGCAGTGGTTGTCAAACTGGGTTCCACAGAAATATTTTTTTAAATACAACAATTAAATGAATTATTTTCATTAGTGAAAATCTGCACTTCTGATTTATTAAGTTCATATAAATTTGAACTTACAACTAAAAGCTACTTTTTTCTATCTTATATACTGGTATATTTGAGAAATGGATTCTCAAATGAGAATCATCATCTGGAATCTCAAACCCCTGGGTTACACTCACTTGGCCTGGAGGTTCGCAGCTGGACCACGGCGTGGGCGCTCCCGACCTCGTTCTCGGCCATGCACTGGTAGACGCCTTCGTCCTCAGGCCCCATGCTGAGCACGCGCAGGGCCCTGCGGGAGAGCTGGAGGCGCTGGCTGGAGATGAGGGGCGTGGCATTCCTCAGCCACAGCACGGAGGGCGGAGGGTTCCCGCGCACCTCACAGGTGAGCTTGGCACTCTGGCCCCAGGGGATGACCAGCTGGGAGAGCTCCATGGTGACCTCAGGGGGTTCTGCCAGGAAACCAGAGCAGGGTGAGAAGGACTGGGTCTTTCTGTCCCAGGCCAGATGGGCGGGGAGGGATGCAGTTAGGAGCAGCTCCCCCTGCCCTTCAGCTGTTGCTTTTTCCTAATGGGTAGAGTAGAGGGAGGGAGAGGTCCGACGTCTCCACCGTCAGAGTCATGACAGGCAGGCTCCAGGACTGTGTGCCCTTGCTCTGGGATCCGAAGAGCCCTGACTCTTCAGCCTGCCTCTGTTCCTCACTCGGCATGTGGCCTTTCACAAGACGCAAACCCTCCATGAGCCTGGGTTACGTTTCTAGAAAGGCTGCACAGACCAGAGAGAAGGCCAAGGAGAAGACAGTCCACAGCAGACACTCACCAAACACCTGGACGTTGTAGAGGATGACCGCTGCCCCAGGCTTCCCAACCCCATTGTCGGCCATGCAGCGGTAGGTGCCTGAGTCCTCCTCGCTGGTGGTGTCGATGAGGAGGTTGCTCAGCAGGAAGCGCGTCTTGTTGTAGCCGGCGACACTGGACCCATCCTTGGCCCAGGTGACCCGTGGGGGTGGGATTCCACTGGCCACACACTCCAGAATGAGACTCTGGCCTTTGGTGACGATGATGGTTTGGGCCTCCGGCGGGTAGATGATGCGGGCAGCCTCAGCGGTGGAGCCTGGAGGGGCAAGGAGGGCAAGGACAGAAGGCGTGTGGACCAGGATGTCCTGCAGAGCATCCCCAGGAGGCAGTCCCAGAGAGCATGGAGATGGGATCAAACAGCCATTCCGGGTCTTTCAACCTAGGTGGAGCGGGGTGTGCTACAGAATTCCCTTGGGGCTTGGTGTCCTTATCAGAAACAAGGGCTTCTTCTGCAGGGAGCTGTCATGAGTAAGAAATGAGATAACACAGAAGAACAGCAGCATCAACACAACAAATGCACAGTTAACGATGTGTGCTGGCAAGGAGAGAAAGGTGAGGGAACGGAGAGGCAATTTAGATGGTACAGATGTTTCTTTCTGCTTGCCCTCAGTAAGAGCACTGTGAGGCTGAGGATGAGATGGGAAACAAGAATCTGCCATGCTCCCAGCCCCACCCTATGGTTCTCAGGCCCAAGTGTCTCTCACAGTGAGCATCTCAGAGCTGGCCTCCGGCTGAGCTGAATGGAATCCACTGTTTAAACACGTGCATTTCTCATAGTGCAAGGTCCCCAAATGCAAATCACTATGTACTTCATCAGGACACAGCTGGGGAAGCTGTAATCTTTTTCTAACACTGCGGACAAACTGCACAGAACTCACTGAGAGGCACGTTGACTCTCCAATGTGTGCCGCTCCTCAGCGACCTTCGAGGAGCACAGGGACCACGTGTGATTCTGCTTTATATGCCAACCAGGGACAGACCCAGGTTTTCTAAAACCTGAAATTTATACAGTTTTGAAGGCCCAAAAGAGAATGGAAAACAATAGATACGAAATTAGGCCCTTCTGAGGCCTCTGTCAGTGAGTGAAGGACCACGGAAGTTTCGCTTCATTAGTTTCACAGTGACTCCATCTCTGGTGCCACCTCTAAGCTAACTCCGTGTAAGACGCCACTTCTCTGAATAGGCAGGGACTCCAGACAAGTGCATGGAAAGGTAGCTGCTATTTTCCTGTGCATTGAGAGCATGTGGGCCTCCTGGACGCTCACCAGAGGGTGGTGCTGGGCACACCTCATCCATGCAGAGAGTGCAGGCCCAGGGACCTCATGCAGGGCAGAACGGTGGCCTGGAGGCCTTCCATGTGGACGTCTGTGCAAGGCACGTGCTGTGTCTGCTGCTGAGCTTAAGACGAGACCCACTGTCCTGCCCCAGCACACACATACTGACCCATCCCAATCGCAAAGTAACGGTGAAGGAAACCTTCCAACAGGCAGGTGTGACAGCAGGCACAGTCACCTGCCAGACCCAGGCCTGAGGGCTGTGTGTTGTGAGACGCTGGCCCTGAGGCTGGCCAGAGGGGAGAGAACCCCTGGCTGAGTCCCAGGTGTTCCCCCTGGCCAAAGCCAGTGCACACAGAATTGTAGCTTGGATGTGGCACCTCCAGGTATCTACCTCCCTTTCTATCTTTGTGAGCCCTTCCATCAGTGATCCCCCCTGTCCCCCAGCAGATGGGCCCGGGCCTTACGGCGCACACGCAGCCTGTCGCTGGAGCCGGAGGTTTTCACTTCCTGGGTCACTGGGTTGTAGGCCGCACACTTGTACATGCCCTCGTCCTCCTGGCTGGCATTCACAATCTGGAGGTTCCCCGAGGGCATGATCAGGTAGTTACCTGTGGAAAGGGCAGGGCCAGGGGAAGACGGGATGGGTTTGGGTCCAGAATGCTTCACTCTGCAGCTTCCACAAAGGAGACGTGCACGGAGGGAGAGGAACAGGCTGGGCAGACACTAGGAGCTGATGTCCACCTGAGTCCCCACAAGACCAAGCCTAAGATGCTGTTCTCCCCATAAAACCTTGCAACAAGAGGGACAGAGTGCCAGAGAGAAAAGGTAACTAACCAACCAGCTAACAGACTGGCTGACTGACTAACTGCCACAACTTAGTGCATAGGTCTATGGAAGAGCATTTTATACTTTCAAGGGAGCTAGGGGAGGCTAGAAAGAAAGCAGGATTTTGAATCAGCCATGGTCTCATGCTCTGGGTCTGCTGGGTATTAACTGTGTAATGTAACTTGGGCAAGTTAATTAACCTCTCTGATCCAGTTTCCTTATTTGTGAAAAGGCTTAATGTATGCTGCCTCAGGGCCATTGTAAGGATTGAGAGGTCCATGCTGCACACATGAGAGATGAGATCATCATTCCTGCAAGCCTGGAGGAAATTGATTCTGGAGCTTCCCCTCATTCTCCCTTCCCAAAATGATGAGCAAATCTTCCCATCAGTCATAGCCATCACTCGGAATCGCCTCATTATTGCATTTTTGCTACTTGGAGAGGAATATTCTGACTTCTAACCACTGTCCTCCCCATGAATGCCACTGAAATCCTTTCTCTCACATCAGAGGCCTGTTAGGCTCTGTTTGCTCCTGGTCCACGGGTGCCATGGGCTGGTGCCCCGGGGGTGTTCAGGTTCTATAACTAGGAGGCAGATTCACAGCTCCTGGACACCCCAGCAACTAGGGTGGCATTTGGCTTCCTGGCAGGTAAAGCTATGGCTGTCAGTGCTGAGCTTTGCCCTGGTGGCCCCTCCTGAGAGCTGTGCTGTTGCCAAGCCTGGTGCCTGCCTGCTGCTGGGCCACCCAGGTATGAGCTGCTTAGCAAGTGCCAGATGGAGTGGGAGAAACCCTTGGCCCTGGTGGGGCAGGCAGGCCTCTCCCAGAGGCTGCTGCCAACCTTCTGCTGGGGACAGTAGGGATTAATGCTCTTCTTCCCCCAGTCTCCAGTTGGTTCTGAGTGGTTGGATTAGGGGTTTCACCCTTTTGAAAACAGTTTTCTGTATTCTCTAAGTTTTCTATAATGAACATACGTTCCTTCACAACCAGAAAGAGTTAATAAAAATATCTTAAAATCTAGAGTATATTTTTAAAGGTATACTTTTTTTTTTCTTCTTGAGACAGGGTCTCACTCTGTCACTCAAGCTAGAGTGCAGTGGCACGATCTTGGCTCACTACAACCTCAGCCTCCTGGGCTCAAGCAATTAAAAGGTATACATTTTGAGCTGTGTTGTCAGGTCAAGTAAGGTCTACTTGGCCTTGAGTACGGGGTCAGTTGTGAAAAGAGGCTGGCTTTGACTTCAGGGACAACCTCTTCCCCTCTGGCATTCTGTGGACCAAGTCTTGGCTTCTCTGGACCTGCTGCCATGTCTGTCCACAGTGGCTTGAGCAGGGAGCTGTGACAGCTGAGATAACTGCATTTCCTATGCAAACAGGGAGAGGGAAAAATGAAGTCCACTGCAAAGACTGCTCTGCTGCATGGGGAAGAGCTCCATCTCCTGCCAGGGAACCCTGGGGCTCCGTGAATGGGCTTATTAGGCAGCCTTCCTGTGTGTGCCGGGAGGCACAGAGCTTCCACAGGCAGCATGCAGAACCACGTGCTGAGAGCCTGGATGGAACAGCAGCATCTCAGCAATCATCTTCTGGGGCCTGAAAGGATAAAGAAATTCCTCATGCTAAGACAGAGGACTTCCGTAATGGAAGCCACCCACTTTGGGACCTTACAGGACTACATATCAAGAAAGAAGACATGACCAAGTATGGTGGCTCAAGCCTGTAATTCCAGACAAAGCGGGAGGATTGCTTGAGCTCAGGAGTTCTAGACCAGCCTGGGCAACATAGCGAGACTCTGTCTCTATAACAAATAAAAATAAAGTTAGCCAAGCATGGTGGCATGTGCCTGTAGTTCTAGCTACTCAGATGGTTGAGGAAGGAGGATCTCTTGAGCCCTAGTGATGGAGGCTGCAGTGAGCTCTGATTGTGCCACTGCACTCCAGCTTGAGTGACCTAACAGGATCCTGTCTCTTAAAAGGGAAAAAAAAAGGCAGGAGGACAGCTGGCCAGCATGAGGACAGGGCTGCTGGCAGGTTGAAGGGGGTTTGTGAGGCAGCCGCAGCTGCCCTAGCTTTGTTGAGCAGTGAGCGGTTGGAGAAGGCCAGCTTCCCTTCTGGCCTCAGCCTCGGCCTCTGGGTTCCCGCCCACTCACCTCTGGAGGCCTCCAGCCACTCTTGTTTGACGCTGTACCGGACCTGGGCTTTGGGGTGGCTCTCAGGCAGGTGGCAGGCAATGACTGCTGTGTTTCCCTCATCCACTTCAATCACGTGCTGCACGTCTAACTTGAAGTCCTCGAGATCTGTGAAGAGAAGGGAAGGTGCTGGTTGGAGGAGAGCAGAGCAGAAGTGTGACATTTCAGGGTGGGCTTGTGCTTTGGTGTTGCCAGTCATGACAAAGCTCACACCTAGGGGGATATTAGCGGATCCTCCAAGTTCTTCCTCCAGCCCCTTGTTGTCTACATGAGTTTGTAAGAATGTGGGGCCCTCATCACTGATGGGGTTCACTTTGTATGTACAAGTTGGGGGAAGGTGCAGAGAGAATCCCATCAAGCGGTGCCTCTGGCTCAGACCATCTGTTACACTGAGATGTGGGGGCAAGTTAGCTCTGCTTATCCACCCCAGAAATGGGATGGGTCAAGGTACAAATGTCCTAGCAGAGCTGTTAGAAGGCTCAGCTAACAGAGATGGAAGGGAACAATAAAAGAGAATGCTGATGTCTTTTCTCCAAGTTGATTAAGAACAGCCTTCCCAGGCTCTCCTCAGGCATCCACGATGACAAGCGATAGGCCTGAGACTGCACTTGATTGATGGCCATGGTTGTAACCAGAAGGCTGATACTTGCTGCTCAGGAGCCACACCCTGCATCACAGAGGATCCTTCCTTGGGGCTGGGGGCAGGACTCTGGATACCCTAAGGGTTTTCTAAGGCAAAGAGGAATCTGCCAGGACAACAGGCAGCGCCCCAGGGTGGCTTAATGGCAGTGGACTGTGGAGGAGCTGGGGTCCTGACATGAGGCTGTGGTCTCTGGCAGCCCCAGGGCCATCTCTCCTGGCTCGCCACCATGGGATCTAAACTGGGAGAGGATGGAGATCCATCTAGAATAAGAGCAGAATGTTTCCCAAGCAATCCAAGAGTCCAAACAACAAATCTCTCTTTGTATGAGCCAAATCACTGATGTTGCTGAGTAAAACAGGGACCACTTGCACAACAAAACTGCATGCATTCCAAGTTGGAAATCTGGTTTTCAGGATGGTAGCTGAATTTAAGAGGAGAAATAAAACTAATGGAGTATAAGACAGATGGACATATTTTACCCAGACACTCTCTTCCTAAAGGTACTCAGAAAGCCCTGGAGGCACCGTCTCCGAATGCTGGCCACACCAAATTCTGCTCAGCTCCCGGGACTGATAGCATCGGGCCTGACTACAATTTCACTGCAAGACTGCACCTGCCTCTGCTGTTGTTTCCACTGGAGACCCAGAGAGGGCTGGAATCAGGTTTCTCACAGAAGACAAGAGATAATTACCAAAAACAAACTGGTGTCACCCTAGCAGTGCCTGGTGATTAAGGTATTCAGTGAGGTCAGGAGGCTTCCCACGTAATGGAACTTCCCAGCAGCTCTTAGTCAATTCAAACCAACACAGGGGAGGAAAAGGATTTTGTTTCTGTGAAAGGATTGATGTCCCTTTGATTACAATATTAGACTGTGAACTCTTTGGGGCATGGACCGAGTTTTGTTCCTGTCTGTGTCCCCTGAACCTAACCCGGGTCTTGGCCCAAGAACACACTTGGCAAGTGTTGAATGAATAAATGAATGAATGTTAATGAATGAATGAGTATCTTGGAAGCTGAGCCCCACAAGTTAGGTACAAGATGCCCATTATGCTGCCTAGAAACTCAAATTCATAAAGTTGGTCTACATTTTGAAGAAACGGACAAGAGCCTAGCACAATGAATGTTCTATGAACATTATATCTAAGTGTGGCCAGTGGAAGTTATTTTGCAAACAGAATGTTTCTTGAGAGGCTATGCAGGATCTGAAGAAAGAAGTGAAATAGGTCTAATAAATGTGCTATAAGAAATACATGACATTCAAGGAGTGATGTGGTGGAAACAGTGATAGGATGGACATTCCATTCTCCATGATGTGCTTATTTCACACTGCGTACCTGTATCCAAACATCTCAAGTACCTGATAAATATACACACACACTATGTACCCACAGGAAAAAAAAAAAAAAAAAACTTAAAAAAAAATCAGGGATTGGTTGTCTGATTCCCTTCTATTGCCCCATTTCACTTTCCAGGCTGAACAAGCATGATGCCTGCGGGTCAAGGTGAGATCTCTCAGATTCCTTCCTATGGGTAAGTGTAGGCCTCCTGGGCTTCTAAATAATGATTTCAAAATTATTTAATGGTGTGTGTGTGATATCTGACCCTAACTAAATTATAAATTCCTGGTGGGAAACCTATTAATTTTTCACTCTTCACCCCAACCCCAAGCTCTATTGCATAGTACTGAGGACACAGCAAATGCTTTCTAAATCCTTGCTAAATACAGTTTAGAAGTCTGAGCCCAAGACAAGCTTGATGGGTGCGCAGCCTGCCCCTGCACTTGATGGGGCTACCACTTGGTTTAATGCTCTGCTTTCACCATCTTAAAATTCTTAATAATGCTTGAACGTGGGACCCTACATTTTCATTTTGCATTTGGTCCCACCAATTATTTAGCCCAGTCCTGGCTGAGCCTCTCAGCCGAGATAGCTAATGAGTTTCCTCTCAGAGAGGAGGAAGGTTTGGACTATGGGAAAGGAATTGCTTGAGCTCAACATGTTCTTGCTAAATATTGGTAACTGTGTTTTCTGAAAGCAATTCACTTAAAAAATGCAAAGGCCTTAATCCTCCTTCAGGCCAGTGCGCCCTGTACCTGCCAAGTCAGGAGGCTCCCCACAAAGCGAGCTGTGAGTGATTGTGAGCTTAGGGGCATCTGGAAAATTCCTCCGGCGCTGTGAAACATTCTCCTCCATGGTCGAATAAATCCCAAACTACTCCACCAATAGGTTTTTGTTTTTTCCTCCTCCTTTTCTTCACCTCATTCCAAGGATATTTGCCTTAAGCAAAGAATATACTTAAACCTAGCAGATCACTTTCCAAGAAAGATGTAAGCAACTGAAAGGAGTTTGGCACCAGGACGCCATCTCCGTCTTCACGGCCCCAGGCTCCTGCCCGTTGTAATTGAGGGCTTATCCAGGCACGGAGGGAGCATGTACTCTGCCAGGCACCCACCTCAGTAACCCAGTGGTAGAAAACACTGGCCCTTTTAATCCCCTCTTGGCTTCTGCTGCACCCTCTGACAGCTGCTCAGCTGGAGACAGAAGGCTGTGCAGTGGGGGAGCATGAAGCTGGGCACTGGTCAGCCATGCGGCCAGACAGCCCCTCTGTTCTGATGCCAACATGTGCACAACAGCCTGTGCAGGCAGGACGGAGGGCACCCCAGCTGGACATCCAGCTCCCCACAAGCGGCGACTGGCAGGCGAGCCTTCCTGGCTTCAAAACAAATAAGCAGCAGTTTGGTTCTTGGCCCTGTCCGTCCTACCCCCATCCCTGCTCCCCCCCTCCCCCCATGCCTCCTAAGCTTAAGCCTTAGCTTAAAACACTCCCAATTTGGCTGCTCGAGTAAAACTTGAGTTTCACTAAGGGATCAAAGGCAGAATAATGAAGTGATGAATGATCTGAAAATCAGAGGACTCCCTTTTTCTAGTGTTTTTGGACAGGAAGGGGGGCCAGGGAGGGGTGGGGAGTTCATGATCAATAAGAGCCTAATCAGCCGTCAGACGGGGCAGATGCAGAGAGGAGCTCTAGCTGGCGCATACGAAGGAAACCAGCCTGTTCCCAGGCCCCTTTGTCTGCAAAGCCGGTTTCCTGGCCAGTCCCTGTGCTGCTCAGCGTGCTTCACTGGAAATAAGGGACGGGCCCTTCAATTACAAATGAGGTTAGCAGGCCTCCGCTGCAGAAAGATGGATCAGGTTTCATGGAGAAATGGTTTGACAGGACACCTGCCCTTGCCTGTTGGCTGGTGTGTTTGAGAAATCCATTAGAGGAATGTTTTTGCAGCTTTAATCCTCTTACCTTCCCTCCCCTCACACCCTTTTTTCGCATCCTCTCTTTGTGCATTTTCCAGCTACTTCATTAACTTGTCCACATTAATCAAATGCTAGTAGGCCCAATCTTGTTTCTCAGCTCCCAACAGGTCAGAAGTCCTGGTCTTTGGGGCCATCTCTGATCAGGTTTACGGACCTTATTTACTTGTCACAGAACTTCGCGATTTCTGAGAAAGCCCATGATATTTTGGGCTCCATATAGACCCCGGCCCAGTTCCTTCCTTCTGGGAGCTCAGTTTCCAAAGGGAAGAAGTACACTCTGATACATCACTTCTGTATGATCTCTGAACACAGAGGTTACAGGGATGTATTCAGACACACATCATATAATGTACTCTGTGCTTTCTCTTCACATTCAAAGGGCGCATCAGGCACAGAACCTTTTGGCTATGGGAAAAACAGAAAGCAAATTAAAGACTGTCAAAGGTACACGGATGTGGCTGCCATCAGCAGGATCACATGTGAAACTGCAAACTGGCACATTTTATCTTGAGTGTCTCTTGAATTTCTTTCTCACCACCTTCCAGTATCTTTCCTTTATTACTAAAAGGTTCGACAGAGCTATGAATTAAATTACATTTGGTGTATCTTCATGCATTCTCATAACACAAATTGTCAAATATTAATTGTAAGCTTATCCCCCAATTTTCATGGACTTTACGTGTCCAACTACAGAATGTGTTGGGTCTCAGTTAAATGCCCCAGGTCTAAGCCATAAACCTAACAATCACTTCCAAGGGAGTTCTTCATTCAGTCTTCTCCTGCATCCTCCTTTAAGCTGCAAATCGAAGCTCGATTCTGTTTGAAGAAAGAAGAGAAGATGCCACCATCCGCTGGATGCTGCATGGAGTTACCAATATCCCCATATCCATGAGCTCTGCTGAACGCTTAAAGAAATTTTGGCCTTGTACCCATGCGGGTACTTCTCACATACAGTCCTCTCCTACCCTTCGCCTGTTCCTGGGGATCACAGGGCAAGCCTGCACTCCTCTACAGAGGGCTGGATGGGATCCACCAGGTCATGAGGCACCGCATGGGGCTCACGTGGCAATGCTGCCAGGATGGCTTAGCAGCCTCAGGACCACTGACAGGCTTCTGGGCTGATGGATAATTCTATTCCCCAACTGTCACAACCTGCA